ACAGCCTCAACCAGCTCCGCGGCCGACACCACCGGTTTCCAAAAACAAAACGGTGAAGACGCCAAGGCTCTCAATGCACAGTTCGCCAGTCTGACCGCATCGTCCCCTTGCACCGACGGGGACCAGGCCTGCGTCAACGGTGGGTTCGCACAGTGCGTAGGGGGTCAGTTCACCATCACCCAGTGCGCTGGGGGCACTCAGTGCTTTGCCCTCCCGCTCGTGAACAAGGCTGGAACGGTACGTCTCCGTTTTCGTTTCCATTGTCCTCGTCTTAACATCAATTTCAGTCCATCGCGTGTACTACCCAGGCTGATGCCGATTCGCGCATTGCTGCTACCGGGGCTTGAGGGAGATGATTTTTATCTTTGAACATTGTTTATACAGCTGTGTATGTTATAGGTATCAATGGAGGTAGAACCTTGTTATATAACGTCCAAGTTCCCGAGATATAAGATGCCTTTTTTTGGCAAGGTGAGGCGCCAGGGTTGTTTATTCACAGAAAAAGCACGGTGGCCTGCCCTCGTCTAAAGTTGTGTCAGTTCCTTTTGCAATGCCGAGCGCTGGGATTCATAAATACAGTCTTATAAACTAGAAATCCCCGAGGTAATATGTAAGTAAATCCATCCGAGAACCCAAACGGTGACTGACTGTCAATGCCATGAGAAGCTCGAAATCTCGCAGATCCATGGGGGGACGCCGATAGATACTCTATGATTAGTAGTACATCAATCGTATGAATAACCTGCTTATACCTCCAATCAAGCCATAGGCCGAGCTCACCGCCAACATTATGATGTAGTTAGAACCTAGCATGGTAGAAAGAAAGACTTAGTCCAGCAGCGATTGTAAGAAGAGAATTCCATGATTTCCTCCTACCGTATACGTCTAGTAGGTACCGACAAAGTAACCTGGTATCGATCTCTAATGATATCATCTTTGTGTTTCTAACGGTAACCCTTCATCTACCCCTGGCACCTTCCTTCACCCAAATGCTAACACTCCGAGCGGAACACTTGAACTCCGCCCAACCATCATCTCCAATAACAACATCACCCTGATACCACCCCAACAGATCATTCCACTTTTCACCAGCGTGTTCCTGCCGATCATCATTAACGACCGGAACAACTGAAATGATGCAACTCACCTTGCCCACTTCCATACGCTTTGATCTGGCAATCAATCAGCTACATTGAATATCATGTTCGCGAAAGAATCACGGACCCTTCACCGGACCCATTGCACAAAACAACGACACATCCATCCATTCCTTTTGCCTTTTCACCCATCCTTACCCATCCCACACAATTCATATGGTCCCAATAATCCCTCAGCTCACCATACGCGTACAACTTACGCGCGCGGATCATAACATCAAGCTGAGATACCGGTTGCTGGGGATTATCTCCTTTCGTGCCGTACAAGTCACCCCAAAATACACATCTACATCAGGTCAGAATTAGAAATCATTCCAGGACATGGAACTTACGGGTATCCGGATGGTCGCAGCAAGATCAGAGCATATGCTAGGGGCTTGAATGCCGGGGATACCCAGCTCTCTAATGCTTGGCCAACTTGCTATAGGACATGGTTCAGAAAAGCAACAAACAAGTGAGTGGTAGAGCGCTCACAGTACTAGAAAGCGATCAGTACATAAAACATATGAAGATGACGCAACGTACTCATGGTTATCAACGAGCGTCACTGCATCAATGGGCCTCTTCTGGACAATCGTGGAGTCCCAAATTGCTCGCATATCATACTCTTCTGCTCTATCTCCAGCTTCTTTGAAGTTGTAGTGTAAAGGCGTGTCGAATACGCTATACTATAATGTTATATGAGTTATATAAGGTCTGCGAAGACACGTTTAACGAACCTGCGTCTCGAGGGAGCCCAGATACTCCTCCAAGTCGCTTCAAATCATCCTTCCAATATTCGCCAACGGCAAACAGATGAGGATCATTCGCGTCCGCGCGCACAGCCTTAACGAAATCAGCGATGAAATGACTGTCGATATGCTACAATCATACTGAGTTTCACCGGTCATGAAGTGGAAACCGAGAAGAAACTACTACCTTTACGGCGTCGAATCTAAATCCGGTCGCGCCGGTCTCCTTGATAACCCACTTCCCCCAATTGATAACGTCCTTCCGTGCGTCTGGATGGCTATGGTCGACGTCCGCACCCACTACATGATGATGAGATCGATATTATCAAAACGATGATATGAACTCACTCAGGTAGTCATAGTTGCTGTTCTCGTCATCGACGCCTTGTGCCCAGTCCTTACCGTCGCCGTGAATACGAAAGATGGCTGATTTGCTGTTATTATCGTCATAATCCACGCCCGTAAAGTGGTTGAAATTCCACTTGAACTTGCTGTACTGAGAAAACGTGTTAATGCGGGTATTGACGATGAGAAGGGCCATACCTTGCCACCTCTTCCAGGAAAATCGAAGCCTGTCCAACCCTACGAACCGTGGTCAGAAAAAGTAGCCAATCCGTGAAGCTAGCATGCTCGCACCTTGATATCATAAAGATCAGAAACCTCTTTGTTCCTGTCATCTGGATCGACCTCAGTAGCGGCAAATTGCTCAGTTCTCTCTGCGCCAAATCTGCGCAATGATCAGTCGAGAGAAGTAGAACAGATAGAGCGTGCACGTACTTGTGATTCAACACCGCGTCGATGTATGTAACGATCCCATGCTCCTTGGCCTTCTTGATAGCGCGCAATAATTCCTCCTTCGTGCCATACTTGGTCCTTACCCCGCCTTTCTGATCAAACTCTCCAAGGTCGTACAAGTCGTAAATGTCGTAGCCAACTGACTCTTGGCCGGCCGCCTTTGTAGGAGCTGACGGGAGTGTTAGCATGAGATAATAAAGGCGTCTTCGACGACATACGAGGTAACCACATGGCAGTAATTCCCCATCTCAGCCAGCTCGGGTGATACGTCCGCGATTTTCTTCCAGTGGACGCCATTTCCTTCAGAGTACCACTCGAAGGCCTGTATCTGTGAAAAATGGATTGTTCAACGGCGTTGCTCGCCGCAGAAGAGAGAGATGAACTCGCCATGGTATGGTTCTGTTCGTCGTCGTTGGCCATGGTAGTAGGAAGTGGGGGGAAAAGAGCCAAGCCAGATATCTTGGACTCCATTATATACCGAAAGCCTTGACAGGAAATGACGCGGCGACGTCGTTGTGAAAAAATCTATTTTGGTGTGCGCCTACGTTGTCCAATTGTGGCAATGACGTAGACCTAGATAAGTGTATGCTCTCCGAACGAATAATGAGGCATTCTTGGAGGATATCCGTAGAAATTGAATGACGCTCTGGCGTGACAAACATGAAGGCGCGACAGGTGCGAGGTTCAGTCATCGGAGAGTCCGGCCCGAAAAAAGTCACATGCTTCCAAAGCCGCCACTGACTTGCTTCTGTGAAGTTACACAGTGTAAGTTCTGTTCTCGTTCTTCGCTGACTTGAATCAAACAGCCTGATGTCGAATATCATACGAAACCCCACTAGCACCAAGCCGAAACGCGCGCTCCGACAACGTCCCCCCATCGGCCCAGAAACAGCTGTCGAATAGGCCACGGCCCACGCGGATCCAAAATTTGCCATTGACGAAACAGAAAATAACTCTGGTATAGCAAATCATCGGAAAATAGGTCCAAGCCTCTGAGATTCTCAACGGTAGGGGAGGTATCATACGAGCAATTTATGGTCGTTACACAACAGAGGGCATTTCGTGGCTATTTAGGTATGAATCCGTTAAGAAACCCTTAGTTCGAGGAAGGAATGCAGGAAGCTACGATGCGACAGCTGTTGTAAGATGACGGTACGTCTATTCGAATATGAGTATTGGTGTACAAAGCTTAAGGCATCCATGATTATTTGCGACCTTCTTGGACTGATAACTCTGTTACCAGTTATTCTGAATGCATATTCTTCTCGAAATCGATGTCAAGTGATCGTTAAGGAAAGTCTGTAACTGACATCAACGCCAGTAACCAATTAATAAAATGACAGTCAATTTGTGGACTAGGCTTCATTCTCGTCACTCTTTCGACAAAGTGTAGTTTGAAAACGACTTCATATGGAGTACAACTTCCACACGTATTACGGGCCTTAAATTGAGGTACAATCTGTCTTGTGTTTGTTCCGTTGAATGCATCATGCTTTGGTTGAGAATGATCCCGCTCGATTGCAGTTCCTCACCAGTTCTCTGGACCTAACGCTTTCCTGGCTTAATAGGCTAAAGGATGAAAGTCCTCGATTAATTCTACTGAAATCTACAGCCAAAAAATATCCATGTCGGGGGCGTCGATCCATATCACCCCTGCCTTCCTACAACAAGGGACACATTTCCGACCGATACATAGGAACGCTCAATGATTAATATGTCTACCGCCTTTCGTAATAATGCATTCGATGGACCCCCGGCTTTGTTGCGAGTCCACATCGTTTCCGGTACTACGTTTCTCCCCTCTGATCCATTTTCATAACATTTCATTCTTGCCGCTCAAGCTCTTCTCGACATCGTCAGTAACTTGTTGGTAGCTGAGATGTGCTGAACCTTTTATGGGTGAGTATTTTTGGCTTCGGCTCGCCTTCCGTCTCTCACACGGAACATCCATCCAGCGCTAAAGCCATCTTCTTCGATGCACTCTGCCACAATTCATGCCGACTTAATACTGGCGTGTCAAGTACTTTGACTTTGGCTTGTCTTCTGTCACTTGCGCCGGCGGCCATACACTACTATCAAACTAAAACCACCCTTTGCACTCGTGGTGCGCTGATTCAACTACTATTATTGGAAGGGTACAATTCCCATGACAGAACTATAAATAGAGCAGCGGCGAATGATTGTGGTCTAGGTACGAATACAGCTCTATTCAATGATTGAATGCCACGCTAAAGGTCTTTCCGCCTAGATAGCGGTCCATCATCGCCACTTACTTCTTGTCAGAGAATCCTGTTATCGTGACTCACATTGCGTCAACAGCACCATGACATCCACAGAGGAGAAAATAATTGTCGTGTCCTGGGCCGGCGACGACGATCCAGAAAATCCTAAAAAGTGAGCTCTACTATCTCCGATCCTGATATCGTCCCATTTCCTGAGCGTTTCCAGTCTCTATTTCATTTACTATGCAGTTGGACTAATACTCAGAAATGGATCGTGACCGGTCTTATATCCACAAGTATGATGCTGTCACACATGTCGTCGTCGATGATAGCTCCAGCTGCTAGGGATGTGGCGAAAGATCTTGGATCCACCAGCCCCATTTTTGAACCTTTACTAACTTCGGTATTCATCTTGGCATACGGTAAGGCCGAACCTACTACTTGGAACTTCGTTGATAACGCTCCTTCCAGCTTTCGGCTTTTCTGTATTTTGTTTCGATCGCTCACGTCTTGGGCCGTTCCAGAGTGGTGCAACTAGCCAATGTATTTTACATCGGTACTCTTGGTTTCCTCAAGCAGATCTAAGCAGACACTAACGGGATTTTAGTCTTCAATCTTCTCTGCGCTTTTGCGAAAGATCCTAATACTATGTGGTTGTGTCGTTTCTTTGCTGGTATTGGTGCGAGCTGCGCCGCTGGCAGTGCGTGATACAAGGCCTACTATAGCCGGAGTTGTATCTGATCTACTGTCCATTAATAGCTCCGTGGGGTTATTATTAGCGATTGTTGGAGCGCCAAGAGGGCCTAGTCGCGGGGTAGCTCTGCTTGCCATACCGTCTCTCTTGGGTCCAGTCATTGGACCTATCGTTGGCGCATGGCTTGTCATGAATACGACATGGAAATGGATCGTGAGTCATCATCCTTAGTTTCTATAATTTCTTCTAGTCGTAACATTGCGTTCAGTTCTGGTTGACCTCTATTGCTGCCGTCTTTGACCAAGTCGGCTCCTTCTTTTGGCTCAAAGAGAGTAAGCGCCGATGTCCTAAAGAGCCAATTGTTGCTTATTTCTTTTGCTGATAGCCTGTGCGCCCTCTTATCCTGTCGCCGAAAAGCGAAAGTAGACTGCAAAAGGCCAGCAGTGGGGAAGAGAGAGTCCAGATACGTCACGAGTCATCAGCAGAATCTACCCTAAGTATACGATTCGTTGGCACTCGAGATTATCTCTGATCCTCTGCCCTACTAGTCCTTCCCTCACGCACATGATTCTACTGCTCCATCCCGTCTTTTTGCTTTTGACCGAACCTATGATCCAGCTACTAGGGATATATATAGGCGTACATATGTAAGACTTACCGCTTCGTCTCTACTATTATGTGCTAATCATGTCACTGGATTATCTTCAGATACGGTAGGATACCAGCGGGAGGATGTCGCGTTCAATTGCTTTATCGACTCATCTTAATGTTCTAGGGCTGAATATATTGTACGTTCTAGTACAATCTTGTCCTTTTCCTAAGCGTCTCTCTGACTTTCTCACAGTGATACTAACGTCAATTCCAGACATCTTCGTTGTTGTATATCACGAGAGCCTCGGAATTGCAGGATTACATTATATCGCATTTGGGATTGGCCTTTATGGAGGAGCACAAATCGCCGATGCAACCCAGAACGAGTTATATCGCTGCCTCAGTGCTCGCTACGGGACAACTGGTCGTCCTGAGTATCGAATCCGTGAGTGTCCTCTATTACATCATCGGTGTTTACTAACTTTTGTGAAGTCATTATACTACCTGCTACCCTACTTGTGACTATCGGACTGCTCATAACAGGTACGTCACAATCATAGGCTTAATCCGGGAGATATCACTTAGATACATTCTATTTTCAGGGTGGGGTGTCAAGCGTTGCCCACTGGGTTGTTCCAGATATTGTGAGTGTCTCCGCACGTAAGACCTACCAAAGCTTACAGTGTCGTATACAGGGACTTGTCATCATCGGGTGAAGACCTTTATTGCACTACAGGAGGCGACAACTTGATTCTTGTTTCCAAATAGAATAGGAATTACCGTGAACTGGAAAGCGATACAGGGGTACCTCATTGACACCTACACTGTTCGCGCTACGCCAGGTAAGTAAATGGCGTGTAGAGGTGCCGATGTCGATCTGACTTATTCCGCAGCTCACAGAAGGTTCTCTCTGCTTCGTTCACTGGGCGGTTTCGCTTTGCCATTATGCTCTCCCAGCTTGTCAGCGATCATGATCTTCTATAATTCTTTCAATGACTGAGCTCCGAGCCTAGGTACGAGAATCCTGGGATATGGGAAAGGAAACACTATATTGGCTGGACTGGGCTCTGGGCATAGGAATCCTGCTGTAAGTCCGCTTCGCTCCAGTCAGGTCCTTGGATGCATAACACAAGCTAGGGTTTTGATCCTGTGGTTTTCGGGGACAATTCTACGCCGCAAAAGTGCAATGGTTATCCACGAGTAAGTATCGATAGAATATTACGATAATTTTACATTTGTATAATAAAATCGAAGAGGACGACGAAGAGTGTAGGCTGCAGGATAGGTACCTAGACTTTTGAAATGGCACTGTTCAATTTCAACTGGCTGTTTTACTCCTACTGGCCCAAGAATATTTCCAGAGTCGAACCCATGTGTTGACATTCGGTGCCATAGGAAGAACGAAATATAAAGATATCGAGTGCCATAGCTCTTATATCAATCATATCATCTGAGTCGGGGGGCAATCGGATTCCTTCTTCTGGCGTGCGCCTACAAGGGTCAAGGAGAAGCGCGAAGGATGCTACATACGCAACTGAAATAACAGTTTCCTGTGAATGATACAGATAGAAGCTTTCTGTCTATGTGTCTAGTTGTCTAAGGTTTTGAAAAGTGGACCAATAAACCCGCATGGTCTCCCCCAGAATCTATAGGAGTGAAAGTGTTACTGCAGTTATAGTTCTACAGACATCATCAAATCAGAACAATTCAGTTAAAATTTCCGAATACAACTCACGCAGTTGAAACGAACATGAAGATATCTACGGTTTGAACATTTCAGCATGACAATTGTGGCTCGGGAATGAAAGAAACTAACATTGAAACAACAGGAAAACCTGAAATTAACCATTTCAGCGTAAGGGAGAAGAAAGAAAATGTGAAGGCCTACAGATAGTGTGTCTAGGTCATGATCCTTCGCATATAGTTGTGTCACGATCAGCTGACTATCATTGCCAGATTGAGTATCGCCTCTCAAAGCTAAAAATATGCTTACTTCACGGATGATGGTGTTCCACTCAGAAGCATAGCAACAAATCTCTGTCCAGTAGAGCATCAACAATGGAAGCAGCAAAAGAAGATACTGCCCACCTCAACAAGAGCGTCCTTGAATATAACACCACGGTGAGTTAGCCCTTGTGTAAGAAGTATACCGATGACTGGAAGCAAGGCCAGCTTGCAAAACGCCACCCAGAACATTGCAGGCAACGGTATCTTATTAAATGGACGCGGGATTTTCATGCAAGCGAACGAAGCACCCAATAGAATCAAAGACATTGGAACAGTCATGTTTCCGACGAATTCAGCTGCAAATAAAAGTGGCCTTTAGATCAGGAAGAGGTCGGCGATACACAAGGGGTGCTTGCCTGTATTGATGATGAACGTCAACGGCGGATTACCATCTGGACCGTGATAGTATGGACCACCGTCGACTTCTACGAACAGTGCTTTGAGTTGTGGAATGAGCGAGACTGGAATGGCGATATACATGCTCATCGTGATGGGCGTGAACAGACTCGACAGGGATTTGAAGGTTCTTCGCAAGAAAGGCGGAAAGAGGGATGCGAAACGACCAAGCTTCTCCTCCTCCGCAGTCGGCTCAAGTTCCTGTTCGTCTGTGATGAACGGTCTCTGCACGGTGACGTTCAAAAGCTCTTTCAAGGAAGGCTGCGACGCGTTCGATGCTCGACGTGATGAACTAGCACGTGACCGAGTACCAAGATCAACAGACCGTCTCGGCTGAAAAGAATTGGCTGATAACCTCGAAGCCCTGCATGGAAGTTGTATCTCAGGGTCTATCTCCATCTCTCCGAGTTGCTTTCCCAAGACGACCGACAATCCCTTGTCCCTTGCCAAGTCGGCCCCTTCCTCGTCATTACCAACCTTCTCACAATGAGAGTCGTTCGGTCGGGAGAGGAATTTTGCCTGCACACGCAGGAAGAAAGCTGCTATGGGCTTTTCGCGCCAGCTAGCACGGACGTTTGCAGCGTCACCTTGAGGTACATCTGGAGCATAGTCCCACGCGAGTGTGTTCGCGGCGCCGCAAATCCACATAACGATGTTGTACGCGAGAATGAAAATTGAAACATATGATACTCCGACTAGATATAGAAGGTCAAATACTATGTCAAATGAAATAGAAAAGCCCTTACGCTGCGGGTCTGTATCAGGATTGAATGGTTTCTGCTTCGCGACAGTAAGAACCACGGCTGTGGCTACACGAAGCCAAAATCACTACAAGACAAGAGAATATATCGGGTGTACGTACGCAAGCTGGTCCAGCTACTCATAGCCGTTGCTATCAGGATCCCAGCCCAGAAGTTCCGCGGGACATAGCAGAATTCGCGGATGAACACGCCGAATAAGAGTCCACAAGCCATGTAGACCTGGTGACGTGACTCAAAGTTAGAAACAGAAACCGTACATAGCTCGACTCACGAAGGCGACCAAGAAAAGCGGACCCATGGCCGAGATATTTTGCATGTTGAAGGCTGGAATGATATTCGAGAACAGTAGGCCGGGTAGCGCGACGTTCATTGTCACCTGTTCCTCGAATTTCAGATACGACAGCGATAACACGTATAACCATATCATACCTGGGACATCCCCCTAGAAGCAGCAGGTGTGAAAAAACCCCTTCGCGTTAGCCAAAACCCGAAGAAGATAGCAAGGGACCTGTGTCTCAATCGTCAGTCGCAGGCGCGCGCAACAAAGCAAAGGTTCCTCACATCTTCAGCAAAGGCACAACCCCAGAATAAACAAGGAAGCCCACAGAATAACCCATTCTGCAGCAGAAAAAAAAGGTTGGGTAGTTTGTTTTCTAGTTCCATCGAGATATACTCTGCTGCTTTAAATTTAAATTTCTCGATACCTTCCGAGCGAGATATTACGCCAGGCTCGACAGCGAACTGTTTCCGTTGAAAGAGTACCTACCATCGTTACTAGAAGAAGAAAGGGTCCAAGAAGAGCTTAAGGTTAAGAAGCGCCCAGATTACATTAGTTGCGAGAAGTCGAGGTATTCCTCGGTTCGAATGTTAGTTGAGAACATTGGGGTGCTTACCACCTGGCGAGGGTGCAAAGATAGTGATAATCTATGACAAACTCAAAGTCGCAATCATGTGTCTATGAACTTGATACGTACCATGATGCCAACACGACGCTCTTCAAACTTGTCAATTGGTTCATCACCCAAGCAACAAATTTCCGTGGTCACGTTGTGTTCCCCATATTGCAATGAATTCTACGAAATTTGATGAACTCGGGTTCATCATCCACGAAACATCGATAATGACATGCTTGAAAATTGTACGCGAGTCACTGAGTGTAGGGAAGAAAACGTAACACGTAACGCTGGGCCCGCGGTTTCATTTAGTCATATGTAACACATAACGACTGCTTGGCTTCCGATAAAAAAAAGTTTTTTTTTCATTACTGCTCGCAGACAGTCCATGACTGTAGAGGAAAGAAACACCAAAGTGGGCACTGGCATTATGGCCAATAAGGAAAGAAATTTGGAAATAGACCTGGAATTACGCGTTACGTTTTCTGATTTCAGCAACAATAGACGGCATTAGAAGTACCATGGTAAACTTATGGACTTGTTCAAGCGATGATGGAAAGCACTTGGGAACAAATGCTTTACCGTGCCGCATGCCAACCAAATAAGCAACGAAACGGGTCCAAAATTATACGTTGCGGTTTCTTCCCTTCACTCACGTACAGTATAGTACGTAAGGCAGAGGCCCGAAGTCCTGGAGAAGAAATGACCCGTCTGAATGGTTTACTACTGCCCAGTATCTTATCGCGGGCAGACGGATCGTAACACCGTTAATTTGGCGAAAGGTGGGTAAGCGAGTTGGATAAAGCTGCGTTCATTACCACGTTGTTGTCAAGTCCGACAAACTAAGAGGCGACATCAACCATCGAGCTATATGTGAAGGAGTTGATTAGCCCAAACCTTGTGCGTGGTTTGCATGTAACTGGTGAAACGACGTCAAATCTTGATCGCCTGGTATGATTCATATTTAGAACTCGGACGAACAGATGATGATCCCGGCTTTTAAATTTATAAAACTTATGAATCCTCGCCTAATAGTCCGAATCCAGTAGGAGCTAAGAAAAGGTGAATTGTGAAACCTGGACGTGAAGAGAAGACCGCCGAGAATTATCACAACCTACGGAATCGTGAGCGATGGATACAGTACTTCTATTCACACTGACAAGCAATTCCCCATCATAGAATTCAGCATATCGCAATGACAGATACATATTACTCAGTCTACCTCTTGTATGACCAACCCCGTCACCCAATCCTCCGTCAATCTCGTCCATCATCGCTATCGAAGGGAGAAATGAAACCTCCCCCTTCGCTCACGCCGACTACGAGTGACTTCAGCCTCGTTATAGTCTCCTCAGCCTCACCAGCAGCCCGGCTCTTTACACTCTCTACGTAATCATCGACGTTGGCCATGGGATCCCATGAGATTCGGTTTCCACCCCAGCCGCCCATGTTGTGGACGTAGTTCATGAATGTTCGCCCATATAGGATCCAGTGCCAGAACATCAGCGTTGCCGACAATGATGAGAAGGGCTTGAGCACGGGTCACAGCGACTACGGACAGTGTAAATCGTAATGGCCAGAAATAACTAGGGGTCAGGAACGCGAGACGCACCGTTGAACCGATGTGGACTTGCAACAAAGCCGAGAGAACGTCGAATATCTGAAGCAATGAAACTCCGAGTTACTTCGCACAGTGGATATGATGACTATCCGGCGTTCCTATACAGGCAAAGGACGTGAGTACCTACAAAAAGAAGTAAACGTGATTTAAAATACTTGTCCCTGAAACTCTTCAACGCTCCCAACGCTAATCTCCTCTAACTCTGGATCCTGGTAGAAGAGGTATAGAATTTTCATTCTCTGCGCATGATATGGCGTAATAACGGCGATATGGTCAGCGCCTCGGACCTTCTATCAGCACAATGACTGAAGTATCATTAGGAGAGATGCCTTACGTATACCTTTCTCTGCAACAAGCCGTGAACAATAGTTCTTTACGATTGTCGCTTCATTAATGTTGAAGTACGACGGCGACTCCTCCTCCCTTTGATCTTGACCAACCACAGCATGGAATATGATTGGGAAACTTCTTCGTCGGAAGGTCGTCCCAATTTCCATGCTCCTCGTCAACCTAGGGTCGCCACATGCCTGTAGTCGGTTTTTGTAGAAATGTGCATTCACGAAAGCCAAAATGGCTGGATGAGATCGGAAATTCTTGAGGAGTTCCATGATCCTGAAGCGCAGCAAACCATGAGAAAAACACATTAAATAGGAAAGAAAGTCGGTACGTAACACCCTGTCCACCACCACTTCCATTGCTATTCCAGGGCAACAATTTATAAACAGGTCTTTCCATCAACCTAACCAAATAGCTCTGCGAAAACCCTAGATCCTTTGCTAGGCCTGAATACACAGTCGGACCTAGCTGTTTCCGGATCACCCGCTAGAATCACGTTCGTATAATCATCTGCCAGTTCCTTGATAGGGATCATAGTATCAGGTTCTGTCGCCTGGCCAGCCTCATCGATAAAGATCCACCCAAAATGACCGGGCTTGACGCCCAAGCTTGCAAGGGCACCAGCGGAAACGCATGTGCAGACCACGGACACGATATTTGAGGACATCTTCGAGAACCGGCATAGCAAAATATAAGTTTCCGTTAGCGAGAGCGTGTTTGCGGAGACTCGTGGGAAGGTCGTCGTACTTGCGGGACATAGCATTCAGGCGGAAGACGTCCATGGGACCGAGGTGCATCAGTCCTTGCACAATGAGGTCGGCAGACTTGTTGCTGGGTGTACACGCCAGGATGCGGCCTCAGGATGACGGTGGAGGAGCTGTTGCATAGCTTCTACGATGGTCACCGTCTTTCCTGTTCCTGGACTGCGCAAATCATTTAGGTCAAACTACCTATAAACGCCAATGAAGGTAATTGCTTACGGTCCAAACACGATGAACGGCACGCTTCCCCTTGGTTGATGTACGATAGCGGCTACTGTCTCTAGCTGTTCAGATTATCTCCCAGATTTTGATTGAAAGGGAATCAGATCCTCCAACGTGGCTGGAGAAATCGGCCGCGCCGCTGTCAGGTGCTCAGGACCTGGAAACAATAATCGAGCAGGGTCATTCTTGTTGACCAGAGCCTGATGCGCTCGGCGGTGGGGTAGACGATTCAGAACGAAACGTATGTCAAACTTGGTTCCGCGGTACGTATTGAAAGTGTCGCTGAAACCAAGGGTGACGTGCGACTTGACAACCTTGTGAACGCGTCCTTCGAACCAAGTCTTTGTGGGTTGATTGACAGGACGAGCGAGAATAAAATCTCCGACCAGGACAGAGGGGCGGCCTCTAGAAAGGCCTTTGACTTGGAGTCTAAACAAAGTTGATTGACGCTGGTGCTCAAGGAGTACCAGAGAGGCTCACATGTAATTTAGGTCGGCCGACTTGATTCAACATCATGCATAGAGTAGGCATCTAGACCGTACCTGTATGATGAGATGAGCGCCAGCGTCAGCACAGCCGAAGCCAAAACAAACTTTTTCTGTTCTTTTCTAAGTAAAGCATGGTCTGGAAGTACTGCGCGTACGTTGTAACGTTAAGCGACGAAGGCATGAATCGTTTGATACCTTGTCTCGCGGATCTCTTGAAAGACCCGTTTTCATTATATACTGCCTGGATCAGATTCTGAGGGACATCGAACGAGGGAAGCTTGGAGATCCACTTCGTCGGGGTCCAAGTAGGAGGACGAAGGCTACGTTTGATGGGACCATAACTTGATGTTGCGTC